AAAAAACAAAAAAAAAAACAAAAAAAAAAAAAAAAAAAAAAAAAAAAAAAACTAAAAAACAAAAACAAAAAAAAACAAAAAAAAAACCCTGAAAAACCAAACTAACAAAAAGAAACCACAAACAAAGAAAACCCCCAAAACTCTAAAAGCCAAACAAAAAAACACCAAAAAATAGATTTAAAAAACCCCAAGAAACAAACAAAAAAAACAAAACAAAACAAAACAGAAAAAAAACCAAAATAAAAACCCCCAAACAAAGAGGAGGAGAAAAAAGAGAGAAGATGGTTGGGAGGAGCCCGGGAGCTGTGGCTGTACCTGCTGGTGTGCTCCTCATCCTCGGAGTCGATGAAGCTGCTGGACTCCAGCTCGCTGCTCAGCACGGTGGAGGAGCTGTCGTAGCCAGGGGGGTGCTCCCGGTGCCGCTCCAGCTTGGGGTGCCCGTTGATCCTGGGGGCTGCAAAAGCACAACCAAGGCAGTGTCACAGCACAGGGCTGCAGGAACGTGGCCCTGCTGAGGGAACAGTGACACTCTGTCTCCTTAAAAAGGAAAAAAAAACCAAAAATTGCTCTCTTTGTGGCAGGCACGGTCTTCTCTCACTCGGGATTTTTTCATAGGGGAGCAGACAGGGAAGAAAGAGAACACAGTTTGTATTTCTGCTCCTTGTTTATCCTATGTGGAATGTGTTTGGAGAATTGTTTCCCTGGGGGGATGCTTGGTTGGGTTTTGGTGAGGATTGTTTGAGCCTGATGGACAATCCAATCCAACCCAACCCAACTCAATCCAATCCAATCCAACCCAACCCAATCCAACCCAATCCAACCCAACCCAATCCAACCCAATCCAATCCAATCCAATCCAATCCAATCCAATCCAATCCAATCCAATCCAATCCAATCCAACCCAATCCAACCAAACCCAACCCAATCCAATCCAATCCAATCCAATCCAATCCAACCCAACCCAATCCAACCAAACCCAACCCAACCCAATCCAATCCAACCCAATCCAATCCAATCCAACCCAACCCACCCCACCTGGGGCTGGGCTCTCAGAGAGGGTCACGAGTTTTGAGTTAGATAAAACAGGTTTGTAGTTTTAGTATCTCCTTTAAATAGTATATTCATGTGTTACAGCATAGTTATAACAAATAAATATATATATATATATATATATACTTAATTATATGTGTTTTAGTTTTTTGGTTTATTTTCATAGTTATTTTATTTTTTAATATTTGAAATTTTAAACTTTTTAACTTAATGTGCTTTTGCGTGGACAGTCCCAGCAGCACATAAATCCTGAAAAAAACCATTCCTGGATGAATTTTATTAGTATTTTACCCATAAAACTACTTTTACCTGGACCTGATATTCAGGTGTTTCAGAACATTTCTTTATTAATCCCTGGCTGTGTGAACGCTGTCAGAACAAACATTCCCACAGATAATCCCCTCCCAAAAATGCCATTTACTTGAAAGCTGCAGTGACTCATCTTTTTCCACGATATTTTAGGGATTTTCCTCAGCAAATCAAACTCCTCCTGCACTTTGCACTAAAATATCCTGAATTTCCAAGTACTCATCTTTTATTTTAGGGATTTTCCTCAGCAAAGCAAACTCCTTCTGCACATTTCATTAAAATCTTCTTAATTTACAAGTGCTCATCTTTTTTTCTAGAGATATTTTAGGAATTTTCCTCATCAAATCAAACTCCTCTTGCACCTTTCATTAGAATATTCTTAATTTCCAAGTGCTCATCTTTTATTTTAGGGATTTTCCTCAGCTGATCAAACTCCTGCTGCACCTTTTATTAAAATATCCTTAATTTCTAAGTCCTCATTTTTTTCTGAAGATATTTTAGGGATTTTCCTCATCAAATCAAACTCCTTCTGTGCCTTTCATTAGAATATCCTTAATTTCCAAGTGCTCATTTTTTTAAAAGATATTAAGGATTTTCCTCATCAAATCAAACTCCTCTTGCACCTTTCATTAAAATATCCTTAACTTCCAAGTGCTCCATTTTACCAGGAATGTTCCTTTCCCTAAAAGAAGAAAGGCTGAGCTTGATAAGGCAAAGAAATCAACATAACAGGCTTCAAAGATAGATTTAAATCTATTTTTTTGTTTTAACCCTTTTGGATTTCAAACCACCCTCTCCAAACACACAAATCCCAAGCCTAAGGGATTTTTTTTTTCTTTATTTACAGAATATAAAACCTGCTCAGGGGAGGAAGGCCTGCAGGAGGAATTATACCAGATTCATATTGAAAGTTAATTATTAAAGTAACTTTTCAAGTGAGGTACCAGAGGAATTTGACAAAGCAATGCTCATTTTTTATTAAAGATTTCCAGAATTAGGAACAGAGGAAGCCAAGGCATGGAGTAAATCTAATTTCTACCTCCCAAGCAGCACCAGGTAACCTCGAGCTCACAATAAATATTTCCTGTGTAATTAAGGTGTGCATTTAAATCCATAAAGTCTTTTTGCAATTTGCCTGCCCGAATAAAATTCCCTTTCCCAATCTTTACTAACGTTAGCCAGCATTGTCTGGGGGCAATAAACCATTTTTATAATTGAGTACTTTCACAAACCATAATTTTAAGGGGTTTACTCATAAAATATTCCCAAAGCAACAAGGACTTTTGTTACTTGAAGAGAGAAAAGGGGAGCTCTGACATCCTGGGTTTTTTTTCCAGCTCAGTTTCCCTTTGGAGTTTCTTGATGTTTGTATCTGCAGCATCCCACACCCCCAAAAAAAAAAAGTTTTTTTATGTTCCTCAAGCCACCACCACGTTGCCTTTGTGGGGATTATTTTGAAATCAGGGAATATACAAATTTTTAAATTTAAGTCTAAAGAAGAATCAATCATTCCCTGCCGTGGCTCAGTGCCTATTCCCCATTAATGACCAGGGACTTTCTGCCCTGCCTTGTCCCTTCTTTAGAGGGTGAAGAGCTCAATGTGACAAAAACCTTCCAGTGCCTCAAAGAGCTGAGAATAAAGCATGGCCTGGGAGGGTGAAATGTGTCCTCCCTGACTTTTATCAAGAGCAAGGTCCTGCCTGAGGGACAAAAACACATCAAAGAGCAAATCAAAAAAGCCTGGAAGCAGTGAGGGAAGAGCAGCAGCTGTGGAGAGCTTCTGTCACAGCAGAGAACAGGGCAAGGGTGATGCCTCAGGTTTGGCTTTTTTATTTTTCAGATTCTCTACTGATGCATCAGGTTTTGTCTTTTTCTGTTTTCCATATTCTCTATTGATGCATCAGGTTTTGGCTTTTCTTTTTTTCAGATTCTCTACTGATGCCTCAGGTTTTGGCTTTTCTATTTTTCACATTCTCTGCTGCTTTAGTGTGAGGCTCTGAGCTTCCCATGAGGGGATGTTTGGTTTAAATTGTTATGGTATGGTTTAGAAGGTTGTAAGATTTTTAGTTATAAAATTTTACTCTTCACAGAGCAGGGAGACAAAACAATTCCTGCTCCAGCTGGGCACCAAGGACAAATGATCCAAATCTCAGCCCAGGAGCACCAACAGCGTGGGCTGGAGAGAGAAAAACAAGCAGGATGGGACTGCCTGGGCTGGAGCTGGAATGGGACAATGAACTCCAAGGTGCAAATTGAGCAGAACTGATCATTTTGTGACCAATCATCCATTTTTTGGGACCATTTT